TACATGTTAACGGAAATCCTATACAATCCCCCCCGGCCTGCCTGCTTCTGCCGGCCGCCAGCCGTCCGGCCCTTGGCTACGTTTTCCTGCTGTAGTGGCGCAGTGAGCGGCGTGGCCATGAACGCCCTCGACCGCTTACTAGCTAGATCGTCTAAGATGTAAATTGGTATGTGAGTGAATGCTTTTGCAAAGCTCGAGGGGTGCCCAACTGCGGTAATCAGGTGTACACAGACTTGGTAATCACTGGTAATCGTCGGTAATCATTGGTAATCCGTGGTAATCATCGGTAATCCGCGGTAATCATTGGTAATCTCAGGTAATCAACGGTAATCACTGGTAATCACCCGGTAATCGCTGGTAATCACTGGTAATCACTGGTAATCACCCGGTAATCGCTAGTAATCACCCGGTAATCGCTGGTAATCACTGGTAATCTTTGGTAATCTTTGGTAATCTTTGGTAATCTTCGGTAATCTTCGGTAAATTCAAGTAATCTTAAGGTGTCCCTGCAATGATCGTACCCCCAGGGGCGAGGCCAATAACTGCGCACGCAGAGCGTTGGGTAGGCCGACCCGCCCCGTATTTGTGCGCAGTTTGGTGGCCGACCCACAGCCTGCAGTGCCCCAGCCCGCAGCGCCAGTGCAAAATAATGAAAAGGTGCGGGGGAGGGGGGGGGGTCTCAAAGGAAGACCGTTGTGACAATCCAAACTAGATTTTCACGATTCACATCGACCCTCTCTGCATTTGTTGGCTCTATCCCCCAAAGTTAGTCCCTAATAAGAACCCTGATTTTTCTGGGCGCTGTAGCTCAAAGGGTTCCGGAGATATGAGCATTTGAAGGTTTTGAAGGCTTTATTTTTGGTGTTTTGACTAAAATATCGAAAATTGGCATTTTCTGGAGCCAGGACTGTCCGGGGCGGCAATCGACTATATTTCCCAACGTAAAACGACCTCAGGAATCCATTCCTGCCATTGGAATTGCAATATTTCAACTCCTTATGCAAATTTTGCCTCAAATTAGTGTTTTTTAAGTATCGAATTTTAACGTTTTGCAGACCGTCAACGACTGACTTCAAATTCGAATTTTTTAGGTTACTCAAGCTCAATAGATAGTCCTCGACGAGCTCTTTCGAAATCAGCCAACGAAAATAGTGGTACCGGC